GGGGTTCATTGGGAATTTTATGCAGTACTGTGGGTAATGGTGTCTTCCCTTTTTCCCCAAGACCATGTTCTGTGTGATGTGTGGGGTGGTCTCTGACATATGGTGGCTGAGCACTGAGTTTTATGGTAAGACCTCTGACATTCCAGAGTTCCACTCAGTGTGGCACTAGCAAGGGAGGAGATGATGATTTTTTGTGTGAGGTGAGGTTTGTTCATCCCTCATGGAATGCCAGACAGGTGAACTGAACACTGCTCATCTCCAGTTCTGCCAGTTGTGCTTGTGGAGCTTGGGTCCATCTCTAGCTCTTTATTACTCTGAATAGCCTGAGTGGCCTTATAAATTTTGGGGCTTCTCTAAACTATGAGCTTTTTTGGATTATTTAAGAATACTTGAAATGGGAAAGATTCCAACAGAGATCCCTTCAGAGCTTGCTGCTCAATCTGTCCTCACTAAGGGAAATGGCTCTTTTATTTCACATCCCTTTGCTGATTATTTATCTGTGCAAACACCTTCCCACTTTATCACAGCCAAGTGCATTTTCTTCAAGAGCTATTGACAGGGGCTGTTTGAGAAGATGGTTTGTGAAACCTCCTGATTTGTATCAATTGGATCTTCTTTGTTCACATAGCAAGGAGCTGCTTTAGGTGGAGCGCAGGAGGAATCAGAGGTGTGCAAAGATGCATTGGCTTAACAGGTCCTGTTTATCTTTTGATGCAGTTTCTCTTCTACTGGTGACTTGCAGTGCAGCTGTTTACATTGCACTGTGTCAGGGCATATCCATGGGCAAGGAAAAATCTGTCATCTTCCGGATCCTTGACTTTTGAAACCATTTTTCCAAGGTCATCTCTTCTTGTATGTTGTACTCCACAATTCCTTCCTATGTTCTGGTACAGCATGAGAGTCACTGCCTGTGTGAACTGGTTTGTGCCGTTCTTACTGATAAATTCCAGAGGTGAAGAGGGAAGAATTTCCTTTGCTGTGGTCCATTTTAAGTACTACAGATAAGGGACTTCAGTCTTGGAGATAATTCCTGGATCACATGGCATGTAGTGCTTTTTCAAAGCTTTCCTCTTTAGCAAATGTTGGCTTTAACTGCTGGCTGAAGTGACTTTGTGAGGGGAACTACGACCTCCTTATAGAGCTGAATGATGGCAAGGGGCTTCACATCTGAAAATGGATATTAAATATTTCAGCAGCGTGTCCTGTGTGTCCTGAGTCCAAGAGGGATCAGTTAACTGGTGGGTAAAAGCTTTGCTTTGTGCCTGTTTTGATGATGTGTTACTTGTGTGTTCTGGTGACCAAGGACATGGATCTTACAAGAAATGGTGGAAGCTTACAGACTGATGGACAGTTTGTAGGTGATCGTGTTGGGTAAGGAATTTCTGTGTGGAAAGGAAAGAAATCAGTTGTCAGAGTCCTCTCTGTAAATGGTTTTCTTCAGAATAGTTGAATTACTCTGTATTTCTCATTTATATTTGCAATCACATTTTTCAAATAATGCTGCTAAGAAGAACTATGTACATAAAAGAGACTCTATAAATAAGATTGTCTTGTATAATGCATTTTTAGCTTAACAAATGAGTAACATCCATAACTTTTTTGGAAGTAACTGTTGGAATAATAAATCAGACTATAAAAGAACCTTAAATTTCTGTGATTCTGTCATAATCAGGCATTGTTTTTACCATCTTTTTTTATTTCAGAAATGTTAAATTTTGTTCTTGTTACACAGTTTAGCAAGACAGTTTGGTCTATTGGATCAGTTTACTTGGATTCTTTAATTTTTCCTGACTTTGATTTAGTGTGTCTGGAAAATAATTTACTCTTGAGATTTGGCTTCCACTGTTTTGATAATATCTATATTGCTATTCACCGATCCTAGGGATTGATTATAAAAATTGTCAAACAGAAGAGACTAACATAATTTATTGATGATTACAAAAGGAATTGGATTCCATACTGTTGTATTGAGAATGAAGGGGGAGCATTACTTTTGTATAGAATTAATTTTCTAATTGAGTATGATCACCAAGATTGTATCTAGAGCTGATGGAATCAGTTAATTTCTGTTTTGTAAGTTTTGCTTATTTATTCTTTTTTTGAGTGAAGTAGACCTAAGAAAAGAGCTTTGTTTATCTTATGAACAGAGTGCTCTGAATTCTGAAGAACTGGTTACATATTGTAGAGTCCTTGTATCAGAAGTTCTTTGTGTGTCCAGTCGAATCCTTTTAAAAATGGACAGTTTGTATCTGTAAACTAACACATCTATTAGGATTACTTCCTGTAATACCAACTTTATTAAAGTCACCATTCCTGACCATATTTTAAAAAAATGTTTCTATCAGCAATTGAAAAAAAACCCCGTTACTGTCTTTTCCTGGTACCTTTCCTTTAGCTTTTATTCCAGGCTCACCTGTATTATTACATAATAGGCAGATATTTGATAGCCAAAGGACTGGTAATTTCTTTCCCAGCTGCATCCTTGATTCAGTAGCTTTAATATGGTAAATAATTGTCATAGGAAGCCAGCTGCTGTTTGTTAATTCAGAGCACCTGATGCAATGTTAGCATACAATAATACTTTTCAGAGTTACTGTTTCTTGTTGGGCTTGGCTGAGTAAAACCAGCCAAGTTGTTTTTCCTCCATGATTTAACTTTTCTATTGTCTACAACCACTAACACCCCCATGTGCCATGACTGGTGTCTCTGTCATGAGATCAGTGTTCATGTTCAGAACAGATGAAAATGGTCTAGAAATTGGCTTTTAATATTACCATGCCCATATTAATTCTTAAAATTAATAATGTGTCTGAAATTACTCTCATAAATGAATATCTAATTACTGTATTAACACTTCATTTTGTTTTCTGGTGTTTTCAAAGGTAGCTTTATACTCAAGCTGTTTGGAATTCCCCTTTTTGAGACATACATGAATTTTTTAGTGGTTTTGTCATTTTTGAACTAAAAAAAATCACATTTTAATACAGGACTTTGTTGTATTTTGCAAATCAGCTTGTATGTTCTTAATCTGGTAAAATTGCAAATTAGAAAAGAGAAAACATTTTCTGTACTTAAAAGATCCAGCTATATAAAATACCGAAGAGGAAAAAAAAAGAAGGAAAAGCCATTGGAGGTTTGATTATGTCCTGCTAGTTCATCATTTCAGTTGTCATTGTTCCTGTACTTTGGGAGAGGCTTTAAGTAGTTTTTCTTTGGTTGAAATCCATATTTATGATTTCCTCATGGGTGAAGAATGGATCCAGAATGCTGATGAGCTTAGTTTTTGTTGGATTATGCTGTCTGCAGTATTCCAGTCTGGAGCCAGTTGTTGTGTTTCTCCTGCCTCTGATGTAAACAAGAATTTAAAGCCTCATTTAACTGACGGTGACTTCTGCTGGGCCATAAGAGCTGAGAGAGCAGTTTAGGTTTGTTGATGAAATTCTGAGTTCTTAACTCTTGGGATTAAATCCTGCATTGAGTCTCACTGTGGAAGTGCAAGCATTTGATGCCATTTGGTTCCCTTTAGATCTTTTTTTCAATCTTTCTTGTATTGGCCTCATCTGGGTGTTTGCCTGGCGGGTGTAGTTTGTTCTTTCTTTCCCTTGCCCATTATGGAGTGTGTGCAAAGGGTTAAAATGCAGTTTTGTTTTGGTGGAAGTTTTGTCTCTGTGTTTCTCATTTCTTAGGAATTCAAGGTTCAAGAGACCTACCTCATGGTACATGGTGCAGGTGGGAGTCTTGGCTTCCATGGTGTTCTTCCCCTGGACTTCAGCCTGTCTGCTTCATGTGCAGTCAGAAGGGACTCATGGCTTTGGCATGGGAGGATCTTTAGGGAGGAGCTGGACTCAGCTGGTTGGAGCATGGTGCTGGGAACTCCAGGGCTGTGGGTTTGATCCCTCTATAGGCCATTCACTTGAGTTGGACTCAGTGATCCTGGTGTGATCCTTCTAACTCAGAATATTCTGTGAAATGTGCCTCCATCATATGGGAATATCTTGACCACAGCTGGAGTGTTTGCATTCCAAGGGGAGTGAATTTTCTCTTGAATTGGAGAAAAGGGTGGTGCCCACTGGGGGTCACTGTTTCAGCTCGTGGAATTCCACGTGTAATGCTGGGAGTGTGGAGGTGACACACAGGGAGCTCTCCTGGGTGTGTGTGTGTGTACCTGGAGCAAGGTACTGGAGTGCCTGTGTTAAATCTGTGCCTGGGGGAGGTAGGGCCTGACCTGCAATTCACCCTTTGTTCTGACATCTCATGTTTGAGGGAACTACCCGTGCCCATGTCCCTGCTGTATTTTGGTAAATATCGCTGAAGAATTTATCATTATACGCTGTGAATTTTTAAAATGTCTTTTAAAAATTGAGCTTCGTTTATTATTTTTAATTATTGTATTAATATTTTCTGAAACATTAAGATGGGTTATTTTCCCTGGTTAATGAAAATTAAAGATACCTGGAAAAGATGCGTTATCATGTTAGATAGTGCTTATGAAAAGTACAGATTCTTATGAATTGTTTCATATGTCTGCTTAAATATAATCTATGGTGTTACAGGATTTTTGCAGTCTATTAAATGCACAGATGATATTTGAAATAGTTTCAACTTGGAGAAAAGTAATTGCTGGAGTTGATTTCCTGTTTTAATCTCTGCAATTTGGGCAGCCTGTTCCATTGATGGGTTGTGGAGTAGAGTAGGAATTGTGAGACAAGGAAATCTTTGTATGCAATATAAATCAGGGGTTGCTGATTAAAGTGATTACAAACCTTGCTTAATTTAAAAAATCTTTTTAAAAGCTCAGCTTTTATGGTGTTGTGGACCTTAATTTCCGATAAGGGCCGGAATAAACACACCTGATCAGGAAAAGTTGGCTGACAGGTTTTCTGGGCAGCTATGTCAGAGCTATTTTTATGCAGGGAGTGAGCTAAGGGCTATGCTTAGAAGAAAATTCACACAAAGATCCAAGCCTCATATGTCTCTCTCTCTTTTTCCCCACCCTCTAGTGATATGCAGCTTCCGAGGAACTGTTCCGCAAGGCTTGGTCCTGGAACTAGGTGAAACTGTCCAGATCCTGGAGAAATGTGAAGGTAAGTGTGATGTCCAAGCAGGAACCCCATTTTCTATGTAAGGATGTACCAGTATCTTAATCTAGCAGATTTTAATAAGTTCTTTGGAAATCATGATGCATCAAATCAAAGCACTTGAATAAAACCTACTCTGACCCACTTTCCGTAGGAAAGGCTGAGTGCTCTTGGCACTAATCCAGTCTGATAGGGGGTCAGTGTGTTTGAAGTTAACCATCTGTCCAGAAAATCTTGAACCCTGACCTGATTGTTGTATTATAACTGGGTCTTACACTGAATTTTCATCATATAAAGTATAGAATTAGTATCTTTTTTTTTACTGTATTTTCTCAGTGTGACAGTTATGCATTTCTATGAAGTGTATCAGTTTAATTACTTAGAAACACCTGAACAGGTGGAAAATACTAGTTATTAAATAGATTAACACTATCAGAAAAAATGTAAAAAATATGGGTTTAGGGGAGGTTTTTTTACATTTATCTTGATGTGTGTTTTTGTACCTAAAGCAAAATGCCATTGTAAATTTTACAGTTCTTACATGACTGGAGATGTCTGTGTGTGAATAGATCAAATGTCCTAATGCTCTCCTTTATTCACAATGAAGAATGTGATTGAAGCTGTATGTAAAAGGAGAATTATTCTAATGTGAAGCCAGCGTTGTAAAATGTGTCTGGTGAGAAGTAGGTTGACAAGATACAGTAAGAGTACATGTTTCACTGTAGCCTGAGGTGGAATAATGTAACCTTATTCCTGAAGTGTTGAACAAATTCAAAACCCAGATCCACAAATTTGAATTCCAAATTAACATTCCACAAAGCTGTAGATGTCGTTTCTGTTTGTTCAGGTTAAAGAAATTTTTCATCTCCAGTGTTAATGTTGCTCCCCAGACCTTCTGCATGCTTGTCAGCAGGCTCTGCTTTGCCTCTCTCACGCCTAGAATTGTCTTTTGCTCTAGATGCTTTTTCTTGTACTCAGGTGTTTGTTTTCCCACTGACTTAACTCATCACAAAAAAGTCACCTTCTCTATGCTAATTTTTCTAGTAATGTATGTTTGTAAAAATTCTGTTGAATGAGAGCTTTGCAGTGCAGTGGAGAAAATTACCCACAAAGAAGCTTGCTGTAAACAATCCCATGCTTTTTTAAAAACCACAAGTGCTGTGATGGGCTAAGCTGTGCTCGCACACTGAGGGCAGATTGTAATTATTCTACCAGGTCTTGTAAATTAGAACATGGTGCAAGCTCAGGAAAAAAGTATCCCTTTGCTTAGGGATAAATCTAAGGGAATTAAACACTGTATGTTGCTGAAAGCAGTCGTGGTGTTTTCCAACCATTTCTGGGAAATAAAAGCACAATCTCCAAGGATCGGGTTTTTTTATGAAAAGGAAGTGGATAATCCAACTTGTCTTTACAGTGTTTAAACAACTAGGCTTTGCATATTTCCTTTGCTGGTAGTTTTGAGGATGGTTCCTCAAAAGCATTCATGCCAGTCTTCAAATTGCTGAGAAAGGAGGTCCTCAGACAGGGTTTTCCTGGATGGAAGATTGTACAGATTTTTTTTTTTTTTTTGCTTTGTATTTTAAGCCCTCCATCCTGTCATTTTGGCTGAGGTGCCTTTACCATGGACTTTGTGTATAGAAAGATGGATTAATTTTGATAATAGCATCTGGAACTCCACACTGTGAAACTCATCTGAATATTCAGATTGTCTGTGCTGCAGCTCTTGCATGTGTGAATTATGCAAAAAAGCACACTAAATGTGCAAAGCAGGCTCTTAAAAGGGGAAAAAAAGCAGTTGCTTTTTAAGCATTCTTGTCTAAGTGGTTGTTTAACAGGGTCCTCTACTTCTGTGTTCTTTGCTGGGGATTCTTTTGTGTAGACAGACTGGATAAAATAATGTTAACCCACACAAAATAAGGGTCACTGCTGTGAGAGTCACAGGAGATCCATTGCTGTTTCAGCTTCACTTCTTGAATAGTTTATGCATAATTGTCTGCAGCAGGGATTTTTCTGTCTGGGTTGAAAAGATTCACATACACAGAAACTTTTAGTGATGTGAACTATGATTTCAGAGACTCGCTGGAGAATTCAAGGCTGACAAAGATTCAAAGAGTAGCTATACTTCTGAATGTGCTTATTTTTAATCGTAATAACTTACTGAATAACTGTATTTGTATTACAAAAGAGCAAGTGCTCTTCTGTAGTGATTGGTGTAAGAAGCAGTCCCTGCTTTTAGTGCAATTGAATGAAAGAGGAGGGAATTTCCTATTTCAAGATTTTGGGTACCACAGCAGCTAAGATTTATAGACATTTCCAGAGTAAAGAAACAAATGTAGGTGCATACACACACGCCCACATACATGTATTTATCTCTAAGCTTAATACATATGAATATAACTACCAACTGATAACATGTTAAAAAATATTGTGGTTGTCTATGCATTTTTAAATGAAATAGAGTGAAATAGAGTTGTCTTTTTTAGTTTGGATCCTGTTCACATGCTTGAAATTGGATTTTTTGGATTTCCCCAAATTTGCATGCTTGCTCCTCTGTGTGCCTTCATACTAGACCACAAATATCTAAATCACTGGTATTTAACCCTTCCTAGGTCTGACAAAGGCCTCTCACTGCCCACTATTCCAGTAAATAAAACTCATGGACATGGTACCTGCCTTTCCTCTGCAACTACCAAAGTCTCCACCTGTGTTTCCATCAAACACACAACATCTGTAAAGCAGGAGGTGTTACCAGGGAGGTTTTGTAGTCACTGCTTTCACAAAGGATATTCAGATCCTCCACTGGTCTTATTCAAAGGTTAGAAATGTTCATCAAGGCACTACTTGGACCTGTGCTTGTCATTCACAGCTTTCCCCCTCTCTGAGCCCTTCCACTATGATCTTGGCACTGAGGGAGAACTGAGACACCAAGTGGAGTTCTCTGCTGTGCCTGGAGGAGCTGGAGGGGCATTAGTGTGGCACTGGAAATGCTGAAAGATGGAGTTTTCTTTTGTCAAGTGGCAAAGTATGAGCACACTCCTTGTTTGAAATGCACATTTGGACTGTGCATTCTGAAGAACACTCTGTCTTTCGAGTCACATGGCAATTGCCCTGCCACAGGCAGTGGCTGTCAGTAACTAGTGGCATTCAGACTAAATTTAAAATGTCTGTTTTGTCCATTTGTTTTTATTGCTAGAGGGCAATTTTATTTAGATTAAAAATGCTATAACTTCAGTAACTGTAATTATTACCTTGAGAATTTTGTATATTCACTGAAGAATTGAAACACCAGCTGATGCCTGAAGCACCAGTTAAAAGAATATTATCTTACCCATGCAAATTCTGCTATCCACACAAGTATTTATGTACATGGTTTTCACGTGTGTACATTAATAATTGTGTTCTTAAACCATGCATAAAATATATTTCAAGTTATTCCAGCAGCGATGGCATGGTCAAAATAAGTGTTTCTGGTATTTGGAACACTTAAGCAGCAGATATAACTTGCAATCAGGGTTTTAAAAAAAATTCTTGATGAATTCAATGTGCTTGAGAAGTGATGCCTTTGCCGTGCTTCTAAGCTGTGCCATGCAGATGAGGGAGGAGCCCCACTCCAGGCTGTCAGTGCTGTGGGAGCCCTGCAGCTTTCCTCCCACTGAGTCAGGAGCTCACCTGTGGCTGCCTGGGCCAAAGTGACTCCTTCCCAGTAATTTATGTTTGGCCTGAGGAAGATGTCTCCAGTGAGATATCCATTTTCCTGTTGGTTTTCCCCCCCATTTCATTCTTTTTTCCCTCTTTGTATTTTGTGGGATGTGCCCGTGGAAGCGAAGCCTCTTGGCCTCACACCTCTGCTGTGGCAGATCTTGCCCAGTTATTGAAAGTCGTCTTTCAGAGTCCAGGAGCAGCTTCTGGACAGCCCTCTGGCCAGGCCAGTGGCACAGTAAAAGACATCCCGTCTCTCTTTGCCTTTTGGCGAGGTGATAATGCAGCCCTGGCAGCACGGTCAGCATGCTCCTGTGGCTCTGCTGGCCCCGGGCTGCTCCCTGACGTGGTGCAGCGGGCTGGGCCGGGGATTCGGCTGCTGCTCCGCCTGCCCAGCGCGGGTGGAGCAGCCAGCTGGGGACAGAGTGCTCCGGCCTCTGGGAAGCTTTTGCTGAGCGCTGCTCCTGTCCCTCTCCTGGCTCACTTTGGGTGCCTTCAGCTCTGCAGAGCAGTTTACATGCAGATAACAAGATAAAAGCAGTTGTTTATTGGCTTGTATATACAAAAGACAGCTTTGCTCCAGGTGTGAGGGTTACTCACATTACTGCCAAGTACATTTATTTTTTGTAGGACAAAGAATGCTTGAGTTCCTGTAGCAGATTCTACTAGCATCTACTAGATTCTGCTTTATTTAAGAACAAATTGTAGCTTTAGGATTTACCATAAATACTTATGTAATTTATTTTCAAAATTTTGTTTGTCAAGAAATTATATGCAGAATTTATTTTTTCCTACAGTCTGCAGCTCATGATTCTTTACTTAACGCTGATACTTGAGCTTTATTTTTCTGGAAAAGTAGATCAATATCTTTCAATTAGAACCCTTTTGCTTTTTTGTTACTGAGTCCTCTGCAGGGGTGAGCTGTTTCCATGTGACAGACCTCTTGTGGATTAAGTGGAAATCTGAAAAAGGTTATGAGATGGCTTTTAGAAAGAATATCCAGTCTCATTCAACACACTTTCAAGTAAAGATCAAAAAATCATTGGTAGCTCTTCCAGTCACTGAAATGAAGAGGTTGAGATGTGCAGGACTGCCCCAGAGCTGCTTTTGCAACTTAACTAGGGCTGCACTACTGCTGAGACTCCTGAGTGTGACACACCTTTGAAGAGAGGGGTTTTCAGTCTTTGTCCAACAGTTTGCAGATTCTCTAATGTGGCTTCAAGTTCCCCCACCGGATTTCCACAGGTACAGGTAGTTTTACAGTGGCATGTTTGATAGACTAATTGTTGGTTTTCTTGCACCAAATGATGTGTGTGGTATGGAATACCCCTTTGGCTGATTCAGGTCAGCCATCTCGGCTGTGTCCCCGCCCAACCTCGCTGCAGGCATGATCCTTGTTTCACGTTAATTTATTCACAAAATTCTTGTCACTTTATGGCTGTGTTTTTCTCCTTGATTTTAAGTCCCATCTTCTTCACCATTTCTGTGAAGTCAGTACCCTCTGAAGACCCTGTGTCACCAAATGCATGCCATAAGTCTGAAATATTAGCAGTTATTATTTTCCCTGCAGTGACACCTGAAGCTGTTGGTCAGTGTTGTGTCTAACCAGGGGGTGCTTGTTGGGATCACAATTAGCTGAAGCACCTGCCTTGGTTTGATGACTATTGTCATTAAATCCTCCGAAACAAATGCTCTTTAAGATAAATTATTACATCAATATTAATGTGTTTAAGACTAATTCCAGAATGCAGGTTTAGTTCATTTTAGGGAATAATGTAATGCAGATGCAATTTTCTAAATGTGCCTTTTAAAAAAGCATTGTACCTTTTCCCATAGCTTTTTTTTTGTGATACAGAATGAGCTGTGCATTTTAAAATGTGGGGCTTTCAGCTTCAGCTGAGCTCCTTGACTGCCTCTTGCTTGCCCAGAGTTGAAGGAAACTCAATATAGAGAGGAGTGACTTAAAAAAAATATACTACATTAAAAAATATAAAAATAAAAGAACAAGTAAGATGTGGAGAGCACCATTTATAAGATTAAAGGAAATTTAACAACTTCTCAAATATGTGAAGAATACTACAAGAGGGAAGTCAGCAAAATATTTTCTGTGATGTCCAAAAGAAAAAAAAATCCAATATTTAAATAGAATCGAAGAAAGTTCATGTTTTAAGAGGAATGTATGTCTGAGCCACTGAAATAGATTGTCCAGTGAGGATTTGCCATCTCCACTTGCCATAAATATGCCAGATTTCCAAGTACTGTACCACAATTTCAGATGTTACCTGCAGTTTTACTGGCCAGTGTTGATTTCTAAAAGAAATTTGTTCTAAAAAGTTGCCTGTGCCACACCACTGCTTTCAAATGGTCTGTGTGGAGTTGCAGAAACAGAGTTTCCTTGGAATTTGGTGCAGAAATACCTTGGAATCCAGACTTCACAGATGTATGGATCATTTTCCACAGGCAAGGAGTGCAGTGTTATTCAGCCCTGATAATAAATGATTGGCTGCTGTTTAAACCAGACTAAATGTGAGGAGAGATTGAGACATGACTTGGATGAGCTGGGTGATTTCTCAGAGTCCTTCCTTGCCTGTTTTCACAACTCTGTAAACACATAGCTTGTAAACTTTGAAAATTTGTTTTGGAATGAACAAAAGCTTCAGAAATCAGCTAGGTTTTTGTTTACTACCCTGCAGATGCAGATTGTTAATGGTCACCCCCTTTACTGGATTTGGTTTTTTTACAGGTCTGTTCACAAACTTGGATAAAATCACTTTTTTCCCCGTTTACCAAGAAGTTTGTCATTCTGTTTGTCTTAGAGCTTAAATGTCTGGTTATTTCTGAGGTGCAGACTGTAGTTAATATTAGTAACAGTGAATCACAGGATAAATGCATTTATTTTTTCTGTGACCTTAAAAATATGCAGCATCTGTTGCTTAAAAGCAGGTGTGGGCACAGTTGTGTGGAGTTCTAGAAATCACTCATGTTAAGGATCTGTATGTGTTGTTTGTGCATTTATGTTTATATTTATATGATTGCCCTGAAGTTTGATCAACTCAAATGAATTCAAAACAGCAATATATTATTTTAAAAATATAAACAATTATTTCATAGGAAAACAAATCTTTGTGTTATGTCCTATCTTCATGAGAAATTTGTGTAATGAAAAAGATGGATTTTAATTTTTACATTTTTTCTGTACTAAGGTTTCCAATTGTTTTGAATTCATCAGTTATTTTATTTCATGTGGATTTAGATTCCCTTTTAAAACAAAATAAAAATTCAAGACTATCAAGCTGTCTTTAAAGCAAATTCAAGGCCTTCTTCCCCACATCTGATCCTCTCAGTGAGACTGTTATTATAATTCAGCCAAATCTGAAGTTGTTTTTGTGAGAGACTAAATACCCAGTTACTTTGTTCTGTTCTTCTCTAGAATTCTCCATAGCAAACTACTGGCAGGTTGTGCCAGTGCAATTTAAAATACGGGAGGAATAAATACAATAAGTAGGAAGTCAGTGGGAAAATGAGAGGAATTTTTATGGGCAGTGGATTTAGCTGATGGGAAGTGTTGGCTGTTGGCAGGTGAGGGCTGTGCCTGGCTGGCACTGACTGCAGCTCTATTGACCCTGGGGGCTGAACTTGGCTTGGGCCTGGCCAGGTTTGCCCACGAGTTTGGGGTGGCTGGGGAGAGCCAGGCCCCCTCCCCAGAATGGCACCCACTGTCCCCCTGCAGGCCTGGGGCTGCTCCAGCCCAGCTCCAGTGTGCTGCTTTTCCACTCCTCAGCTGGGGGGGGTCTTCAGCCCCTTTATTCCCAGCTGAGTGCTGAGTGACACCACTGTCACCTGTGGGAAGCAGCTGGAACTGGGTACTTGTGTTTAACTTGCAACTTTAGCAGCTTTGTGTTTTACTCCTCGTTTATTGTCCTGTCTGGAGCTGTTTCCTGATGGAGAATACCAGAATAATAATGGGGTGTGTAAATTAGATCCTAAAGCCTGTTCTCTACTCAGACATACATTAAGACCAGACACATGCAAAGAATTTATATGTGTTTAAAGCACATTGGAAATGTATGATAATGGCTTTTACAGGTTTCTGAAGTCTGGAGATTTTGTCAAGATAAACACTGCAACAAGACTCATGTGCCAGCCTGGAAGAAGTGTTCAGTGCAGACTCTTCCCTGAGTGCTGAATGAATCTTTGCCACACTGACTAAGGATTGTTAGTATGGGAACTAGCTAATCTGCTTTTATTCCTGGTGTGAAAAAACAAGAGCATTGCTGGTTGTTAAGGGTTTGTCATTATTGCAGGGCAAAATAAAAGTAATTTTTACAAAACACCCTAACAAAAAAATCTTTTAAAAATTTAACCTGTGTGAGGCACAGCTGGTTTTTTAGATGATCTCAGTAACTGCATGGTTGTAGTCAGTTTGCTTCTGTGTAAAGACAGCAGTGCCACAAATAATTATGATGTGTTTTACCTGGTTTCAGGTTGGTACAGAGGTGTTTCCATTAAGAAGCCCAGTGTCAAGGTAAGCATGAATATATTTGTTAATCTAATGGCAGACTAAGTCTATTTTACTGTTACAATCCAGTAACCTTTTCGTTTTCCTTCTCTAACTTTTTTCCTGTGGGAGGATTGGATTTCTTTTTAAATTGAGTGATACTCATTAATCACTCAAAGGATCAGAAACCTTCCTGACATGTAATATGGAATTTTTTCAACATTTATAAATCTCATCCAGTTTGATCCTCTCCACCCTACTCCCCTAAGAAAAGCATAGGTGGGTGATATTGCATTGCTTAAATGCAGCATTTTAAAGAACACATTTAATAAGTTGAATTATTCATCTAAGACAACTTTGAAAAAAGTCTGTTGAAAAAGGATTTTGTAAGTTTTTGGGAGTGGTTTCTGATTTTTTGCAGTTTAACCATTTGATTTGGTTATTTGCCATTTTTTTTCCATTGTTATTACTCTTGGAGAACTTTTTTGACTGTTCTGGTATGATTGTTTTTGTGAGGACATGTAAGTTTTTTTTAGTGTTTGTATCCAAACATGCTAATATGAGCTTCTATATGAGCTTCACTTTATTATCTGTTGCTTTAAATATTGCTTGCATTTAAAGAGAGGAGTACCTGATTCCTCATGTTTACCTAATGCCTATGCATTATGGAATATAAAATTATCTGTATTACATTGTCATGACTATAATACTCTTTTAATGAAATGTCTGCAGTCATTGTATGTGTTGGTACTTCTCTGTGTGTATATTCAGTTTTGATAGGAGAGCCCTTCAAACCTTCCCTGGTTTCTTAGATACCAGAAATAAGCAGCATTAACTAGAAGGAACCAAACAAGGAAGTGAAGTAGCATTTCTTTTCTTCCTGGATTTTCATGTGGCTGAAAGCAAGCATATTTACTGTTTTCCTGGTGAAGCCATTCCTCTTAGATTCAGCTTTTTTCCTTCTACAATTTTAGTCTTGCCTATGAACAAGAAAGAATTTTCCTTAGCATTTGGAATCTTACGTACTTAATATTCCTTTCAACCTGCCCCCCCACCCCAGAAATTTTTATTTCAAAATTGTGTGATTTTAAAGCTCTAAAAAGTGAAAGCCCACACTTGATTGCTGACATTTTTGTCAGAGGCTGTGAGCTGGTTTTTAATCCAAAGATTTCCAATGCTGCTTCTGTATTTCCTACCGAAGTGCAGGTTGCTGTTCTTACACAGTGACAGACTTTGCTGTTAGGATTCAGGCAGGGCCACTTGCTTTACAGAGGATGTGGAACACTGGGAAGAGGTTGGATTAAATTACCTCTTTTCCTCATGTCTCAACACACAAGAGCACACTGGCACAGGCAAGGTCGGAGTCCAGCCCTCATGGGAACAGTAAAAGACAAAAAACTGGAGGTGTCCCATGTAGGTTTGAACAGCTTTTCCTTGGAAAGGGAGAAAAACTGACAGCTCCAGGGTATGCAAGTAATAGAATACTTCGGTCCTTGGGGTTTCAGTGCAAATTTGGTGGTGGGCTTTTAGTTTTTGTTTAATTTGTCTTTTTAAGCCTCTATCTGTGTCACTTCTCCCTCACCAGCATCAGCTCTGGGAGCTGCAGGTGCTGTGCTGCAAACTGCAGAAGAGCCACTTTTCTGACCTTCCCAGGTGGAGGTTTGGTCCAGTGTGGTGTCCTGGTCTAAGACAGACTAAACCAGCCAATTGTTACTAATCTGAATGTAGAGTTTTGACTGGCAGCTTTGACACAATTGTTGTTTGGGGGGTTCTTAATATGTCTGTTGGCAGTTATTTATTGTGGCCTGGGTTACCAATGCTGAAAACTGCAAATGTACTTTTCTAACGGACAGAATTTTTTCTCTTGCAGGGGATATTTCCTGCAAATTATATTCACTTGAAAAAGGCAATTGTCAGTAACAGAGGGTGAGTATTTTTCCTTCTTTTAAAGAAGCTACAGTGCTTTTTATCTAGAAGGGAAACAAAGAAATAATTATTGCAACTTACAGAGATGTTTTAGGTCATTGTATCTTTTTTTTGTGTGTAATGGCTTGAAAATTAAATGTAATTTTACAGGGTTGGGGAGGGTGGCTTGTTTGTTTTTAGTATAGCAAGAATCAGGTCTGATGGCTGATGGTTACTCTTGTTTGCTTTGGCTCATAAAATTGTAACTTTAGAGGTGTCATCTGAAACACATGCATTTAAAGAACTCATATTCTTCCATTTCTGCTTGTTCTCTCACTGGCAAAATCCCGTATTTTCCTATTTGTTATGGAGACACCAGTCAGTAGACAGCCCATTTCATTTACCTACAGATTTTCAGAGTCATAGCTGTGTTACCTTGGATGTTTTCCAAAGGATCCAGCCCTCCCCACCTCACCCAAAGAGTGACTGAAGAGCACTGCTGAAAACTGCCCTTCTCTTTGTATTCATGTGTTGCTGGCTGTGGGTTTATTTCAGTTAATGTGAATAACAACACTGGTGGAAATGTCATGTCAGGGAAGTTACTGACAGGGGACTCTGGAACCTGCAAAGTTTCCTGTGAGATTGACTGAGACTCCTGAAATCAATACTTTGTGTTTTCACTGCTGCTTTTACTTGCATATTCCAGATAAAGGCTGCTGTGGGGAGATTTATAATTGCAGTGGTTCAGACAGTTGACCTGAGGCAACAAATTAAATGTGGAAGATAAAATGTATTAAATGGCACTTAGTGAACTACCTGCAGAAAAACAGGTGACTTCTGGTAGTCTTGAATTGTAGATTTGTTCCCACAGGGAACAGGGCCTCAGTAAGGGCAGCTGTAATAGTGATGCTTCATAATTTTGAGGTGTAATAAAATGCTGTATATTGCATAGAATAACCACTCCTAATGTGTACTCCCCTTAGGGGAAGGAGCAGTTCCCTATGATGTGTAGTTAATTAGTCCTTGATGTTAGTTTAGAGTTTGTGAAGGGCAATCAGTTCAGGTACTTGCTAGGAAAGCTGATACACTGTTTAAAAGTACCAAATCCTGATGCACCAATTGACACAACAGAATATAATGCAGTTCTGAACCAGAGGGACATGGTTATTTCAGGTTTTGTTTGAAAATTCTTTATTTCAGAATATATTTCAAGTGCCATTTTAAGCACCTGTGAAATAACAGAGCATGTGTTGAAGCTGGCAAGTAGCGAACACCACACAGCCGCCTGCTCACTGTCTCTGCCCTCTCCAAACATCCCTAGAGACTTACAGGGACTGTCCCCAGGGCTGGAGCAGCCCTGCTGTGAGGACAGGTTGGGAGAGGTGGGCTTGGCCAGCCTGGAGCGGAGAGAACGCTGGATAGAACTGCTTGTGACCTTGCAGCAGCTAAAAGGGGCTTGTAAGATGATGGGGACAGGGCTTTTGGCAGGGTCTGGAGGAATCAGGGGATGATGGGGTTACATTTAAGGAAGACATTTTAGGCTGTTGGGTGAAACCTTGGCATAGTTTGCCCAGGGTGGTGGGGGCTGCCCCATCCCTGGAAGTGTTCAAGGCCAGGTTGGATGGGGTTTGGAGCAACCTGGGACAGTGGAAGCTGTCCCTCATTCCAGGGGGTGGAATGAGATGAGCTTTGAAGTCCCTTTCAGTCCAATCCACTCTTGTGGTTCTCCTTTAATGGTTTTGGGAAATCTTTACCATGAAGGAACAAGTTTTATTCTTTTGATTAAAGGATAGATCCCTCAGATTTCATCTGCAATGTTGAAAAAGCTTTCTGGATAGATCATTTTAGTAGACAGCAAGTATTTTCAGTAGTTTCGATATGGGCTAACATTACTGAAGGGGGGAAAAAGGGGAGGACTGGCTTAAGAAAGGGATCCAAATTGTGAAGGACCCCACTTCACAGCCAAGTTAATTTAACATGCTGTAGTAATGAAAACTTTTAATTGACCTTGATTAGAGTGAAAGTATGTCTTTTGAACAGGAAATGCTTCATATAAGCTTAATCTTGTGGAATGTAGTGGAGGAACAGTAGCTGTGACTCTGGAGTTGCTTCAGTTTTACAACAGACAAAATGATCCCCTTAAGATATTCTCCTTATGCTGAACAAATTCAGGTCCTGGAATTCTACAAATTACTGCACTGTCACATTTCTTTTTCTACCTTTTCCAGGGTACATTTCCTAATTTCTCCTCTCTTTTTCTACAGGCAATATGAAACAGTTGTTCCTCTTGAAGATTCTGTGGTGACTGAAGTCACAGCAACACTGCAGGAATGGGCTGTGCTCTGGAAACAGCTGTATGTGGTAAGAGCAGTGCTCCTCTCCTTGCACATCTCTAGTACCCTGGGGAATTGTTACCTGCCTTTGTGCATTCAAAATCCATCAGAATCAATATCAATTGTTGGATTCCTTGTATTTATTGGGGGCTCCCTAACTGCAGAATAATGGATCATGTGAGAGTCACATGGAGTACACCAGAACTTTCTGCAGTTCTGAAATTCTACCTTCAGATCTGAAAATTTTATTGTTATAAGAAAAGGCAACAATTTTAAAGTGCTATTAAGTATGTAAGAAATAATATATTATAATACTTCTGCAAGTCCCATCAAAGACTTCAAAAATTATTCAGCACAGTTTGTAAGTAGTTGTTTCAGTGTCTAGAGTCTGAAAGGAGAACTCAAACTATGAGAGGTTTTGTACAATTGTTCCTCCATAAATTAGAAGTAGACATTAGGATAAATGTATTGAGTTTTATACACATATTTTTTATATAATTTTCAGTTGCTGCCACATAATGTCTCATACTTCGGCTTTCATCCCTCTTCTTTTCTTACATTTTAATAGCCAAAGCCCATGACACAGCAGATAAAATACTTGAACATTTGAAGGTATTTTTTCCTGGCTTTTATTTTTTCTTTTTTAGCTTAGTAATTGCAAGCCTTCACTGTAGGATTAGGATCAAGAACTGTAGGTGATCTAAGCTTGTATTTCCTTCCTGTCCTTCCTTTAGAGAAATACCTCTACACAGAGCTGCAGGAGCTTTGTTTCCTTATTTAAACCTGCAGTGACAACAGTTACATGTCTAGGAAACCAACCCAGGAACGATCCAGTGGAGTGAGTCCAGTGCATCTCCAGCATAACCAGCTGTGTTCTGTGCTTCAAAAAGCAATCAACTCTTATGAAATCACAACTGGTCCCAGTTCTTCTGTGGGGTCAGATGTCCCTGGAGGTATTCTCTTGGGAAGGAACATCTGACCTAATGGAGGAGGGGCAGGAAATGTTGTTTATGTCACGTTTTATACCACTCTTTACACCTAGTTCTCCTCCTTTTTCCATTGTATACACATACCTCTATGGATATGGGAACAAAGTGATCTTTTCTGTTTTCTTCCTGTAAGATTTTTTTTTTCTTCCTCTCTCCCCAGTGTCAGCTGACGATGACAACAGTAATATTGGCAATGGTATTAAATTGGAAAAAGGGGAATAATTTTACCTACAAATGAGCTAAGCTTCCTTTCTACTAAAGTATTTCTTTTTTATTGTTAACACCAGTTCCTTGAGGGGAAGGAGAGAGAAAGCTCTAGCTATAAACTTTCATTTAGTGATTTTCCTTTCTGGGACTCCTTTCTATTGTAGCTCATTATATTTCTTATAACATTGCACAAAACATTATTGTGTTCTTAAATAACAGGGGAAAGAATTTACTGTTCTCATAGAACTTTGGAAGGAGGCATCTGCTCCATGATGAAGAAATTGGCAGAGCTTCTGAGTAAAAAACACATTGTTTTGTGTTGTGGGGTTTTTTCCAAAAACTTAGGAAAAATTAAAAATTCTAATATAGAAATAATCACAGATTTGTTTAGATTGGAAGAGACTTCTTGAGATCATCAGCTGCCTTGTTAAGCAGGGTCAGCAAGACCAGGCTGACAGGACTGCACCAGCCAGGTTTTGAGTTCCTTCTGGATGGAGACTCCCCAGCCTCCCTGGGCCAAGCTGCCAAGGTTTGAGCACCTTTAGTGATTTCTCATCTCCACTGATACAGTACCACAGCCTTTCTGGCAGACCAATTTACACCGTTGTTAAGGGGGTAACTGATATTTGTCCCATCTGTGGGCTGTACATTGGAAGCCTGAGGAAATGCACTGAGGTGCCTGTGGCAGAGCTGGGACTAGAATTTGATCCTTGGTGTTCAGGCTGGAAGCTGTGTAAGGACATACCTTAAAATATATTGAAAGACTAAATGGAAATAGTTGTTTGTTGTTGGATCAGCAGCAGCAGCAGCAATTTTTATTATTCCCAAACTGTAATAAGAATTCATCTAAGAAATGTAATTAATGTTATTTGTCATGCTGCTGTGCCCAGTCAGCTTTGTAGAAATGTTTCTTACTGTAGGGGAAATTCAAGTGCTGGCTGTTGCACAGACACTCTCAGTAGGTCAGTGCCTGCAAAGGGCCTTTCACTGGTCAGTGGGGCTGCCAAACAATGTGAGCAACCTCTCTGAGCATCTCTAAATAGGCTCAAATGTTAATCTCATGCTTTTTGGTGAACTCCCTACCTGCATTATGGTTTGAAAGACCAAGTTTGTTTCAATTAAATTTGCCAGCAATTACCTTGGTAGTATTGTTGAGGTGCATTGTAAGGTTTGTGTTTGTCTCTCAGTGGAACAATGGGAGCTGGAATGTAATACCCAGGAAGCTTGCAGTGATTAAAACACTGCCTGGAGAGGGATGCTATGTTGTTCCAAGATAAGGAAGTTCTGCTGACAGAAAATTGGAGGGAGGAGGAGAACAGTGCGAAATGAGAGGGGTGAAGGATAGCACAGCTTTGAGACAGTTGCAGAAAATTAGTTGGTGTAAAATATTGGGAATCTTCCTCATTTTCTTCTGACCACAGAGAGCCCATGCCAGTACTGGGAATAAACTGTGCGTGGGGAAGCTTGAATGGGTTTGAGTTACAGGAGTTGTACAGCAATTTTAGTTTAGACTTCTGAGAAACGCATATTAGAAATGTTAGCCTGAGATCATTGCATTGCATAGGGCTGTGATATTCTTTAAATTTTTGCTATCAAGGTGAAAGCCAAGTTTCAGTCTGAGGAGAAAAAGGCATTTGTCTGTAATGAGTTCACAGAGAAAGGGCTGTGCCTGAAATGAATTTGAAATAGAAAGATGTATGATGTTTTGTTTGCTTTACTGTGATAACAAATTATGCTCTAAGTAGTTGGATTCTGATCATATAACTCTTTGAATACTGACAAAACAGCAAGGTTTTTTTGAAAATGCCAGAGGTTTTTTTCAATTGGAAAGCAATATAAATAAAACTTGGATGGAAACTATCAGAATCTGTTATTTATATTGGATGGGATTTTTAGCAAAAAACTATAACCTTGTTAAAAATTCTATGCCTACTTAAAAATAATCTATTTTTAAATAGATGGAGTAATCGGGAATAGAACTGAAATATTTATTTTTTAATAGAGGAGTAAAGATGATAGTACTTTTATTGTTCCGGGGACAGACCTTTTAGCAGGGCCCATAGCAATAGGACAAGGAGTAATGGTTTTAAATGAAAAGAGGTCAGATTCAGACTAGATACAAGGAAAAAGAATTGTATCGTGAGGGTGGTGGGGCCCTGGCACAGGGTTCCTGGAGAAGCTGTGGCTTCCCCATCCCTGGAAGTGTCCAAGGCCAGGCTAGACAGGGGCTTGTAGCAACCTGAAACAATGGAAGGTGTCCCTTCCCATGGCAGGGGGTGGAGCTGGCTGAGCTGTAAGGTCCCTTCCAACCCAAACCATTCTGTGATTCTATGTGAGGAGCACATTTTCCCCTATTTCAATATGTAATCTGTATGCAGACAAGGCAATGTCATGCCACTGGAAAATGGAAAGCAGTTCTTTGCCTTCTCTGGATCTGTATCCAGGCTGTATCCTGTATCCAGGCTTCAGAGATGAGCACTGAAGTAATGAGATTTAGTAGCTACTTTCTGGCAAAAAAAAAGCCACTGTTCTATTTTACCTACTTGGTTTGTTTTTTCCTGCTTTCACTGCTGTTGTAAGGGAAATGAGGAGGGAATTCACTGTGAGTGTGGATCTCAGTGTTTAAAATCTATTCTATGTAGCCACTGGAATTGCTGGTAATGTGGGTAGGGTCACTGCTAACCACAGCTGGCCAGATGTGTGTGTGTTTGTGTGTGTTTGCACACACTCATGTATTTGAGTACTGTCAGTAGGTGCACAGACCCAGTATCTTGTGGTTTTGTTTTGCCTGGCTCCAATACTCTGTTGTTCTTTAGATTCATTTGGACACCATAACTAGCTTTTGCCAATAAGCAAAAGATGCCAGTGATTCCCTCCCCCAGTCCTGCACTTAATTTGGTATAACTAGCTTCTTCTGTGAAAGCCTAAGAAATTTAGAAGAGGGTTTTACGTCTTGTTTCCCAGTATTGCAAAGCCAATAAGCAAAAGATGCCAGTGATTCCCTCCCCCAGTCCTGCACTTAATTTGGAGTGGAGGAGAAAGGAAAAGTGAGATTATTAGTGTAGCACTGTAAGCAACAGAGCCTGTTCTTCTGCCTACTCCCAAGGGACAAGGAAAAGAGCAGAAAAGCAAGAAAAAACCTTGGGGAGACTTGCTTAGGCACAGAGGTGGATAAAGATGCAAAATTGCATTTGTTACAGTGAAATGGGTGTGTGCAGCTCTTGGCTAGTTACCCATGTCACTCTACTCCTGTTGAGACAGCAAAATTATACCAGTAAGGTTGTTAACTTTCTCTCTTACCCTCTATGTGTTAAGATATGTTATTTTTGTACTACTTCTAAATAAAGGATCTGCAAGTTCTCTGTAAGCTTTTGTTAATTAGGTCAAACAAGACTCCTGTGAGTTTTTAAGTCAGCTAAGGAGATCACTGAAACTCACTGTTGGTGCACAGTAGCTATTTTAACTGTAAAAAAAAATTCCTCAGAGTCTAAGATGTGATGTGAGGACTATTTCTGTTGAGAGAGCAGATGACTGTGGAGAGACCAAATGTAATTGCCTAATTTAGAGTTTGGTCAGATCAATAACATTAATTTGCTACTTTTACAGTAATAAAAGTAAGGGGGAGTAGGGAATGTGTGGGGTGACTTCTTGTCCACTGTCAGGAGTAAGACCTAATGGTGTAGGGAATAGATGGAATTTTTGCCAGCTCAGTGTGAAACCAATTTCCCATTGGCTTCTTTTAAATTTCCTGAGGGATCCTATTAAGGAACAGAGTGGGTAGCAGGACTTGGTGCAATTGCTGCAATGTGATTTGGGTGGTTTGGGTGTCCCT